TGGCCTCAGCCTCAGACTGCAGATGGAAGCTTCCTGTGAAGGGGTTGGAGCCGGGTTCGTGATGACCGCCCACAGAGGCTTCTGGGGGCAGATGGGGGCTGAGCCTGAGGCAGGACCCCTGGGTCCACCACGGCTCTGCCTCTCCCAGTTCCCCAGGGGTGACTCCAAGCAAAATGTACTTTGGACACAGGGTTCTACATGTTTTAAAAACACCCAAGACCCAAGGAGTGGACGGTCTCGGACCAGCGGTTCTGAAGGAGGTTCTGGGTTCTTGGTCACCGAAACTCTGTGCCTCAGTGTTCTCATCTGGAGAACAGGGACCCCGCTTGCTGCAGGGCCAGTGCCCTCACAGCTGCTTGGTGCAGCGCCGGCCAGTTGGCAGACATTCGCTGAGCGGCAGCTAGTGGCTGCTGTGATCAAATAATGGCATCGGGCAGTGTGATAATGCCTTCTGCCCTGGTGGCATAGTGGGGTACAAGATGGGCTGTTAACCGTAAGGTCAGCAGTTTGAAACCACCACCTGCTCCTTGGGAGATATAGGAGGCTTTCTAGTCCTGTAAAGATCCACAGCCTCGGAAAGCTCACCGGGGCAGGTCTACCCTGTCCAAAAGGGTCACCAAGAGTCAGAACCGACTCAACGGCCGTGAGTTTGGAGTTCCTTTGTGTGGTTCATCCACATGGTGCCTAGGTGGCACTGTGGGTTAAGCGCTAGGTGGCAAACACCCTCCCCCCACCACCACCACTCCTGGGGAGAAAGATGCAGCCATGAGGATGGGCGGCTTTCAGAGACTACAGGGCAGCCTCCCTCTGTCTGCGGTGTTGTTAAGGGCAGGGCCAGGTCTGGGGCGGTGGAGGTGCTGCCCTGGGCTCTGTTGGTTTCCATGCTGGGCTGCTGAGAGGTGGCCAGGTGGCCTGTGTGAGTTTGAAGTGGGGAGGGCGCACTGTGTGTGTGGGGGGGTGCTCTGGGACCAGGGTGTGCACTAGGATAGAGTGGAAGTGGCTTCCCTTGGGGACAGGGAGAGCCCCGCCTGCCTGCCAGCGGGGCTCCAGGGGTGGAGTATATGCTCAGGTGGGGCAGGTGGGGCTGGAGCAGGGCCTGGAAGGCCCTGTTCAGGGCTTAAGTAGTGGGCAGCCCCTCCCATCCTCTGTGTCATGCCCCTGGGCTTTCTGAAAAGCCGGCCAGCCAGTAACCGCTCGGGAAAGGCATGTGAGAATTTCAGGAGGGACGAGCGGGCAGCAAGGAGACTTGGCAGCTGCCCCCCATGCCGTGTCTACTGGGTGTGTGCACATATGTGTGCGCCTGTGTGTGTGTGTGTGTGTGCAAAACATGCCCACACACACTTTTCTTCTTCTCTTGTCCATCAGTAAATTTGGTGTTGTTTCAGGACAGTTTTAGGTTTACAGGAAAATCGAACTGCAGGACAGAGTCTCCACATGTCCACCCACCCCTCTCTACCCCCTCCTCCCTGCTGCTCATATCTGGCATTGCGTGCCCTGCTTGTTACGGGGGTGAGTCAGTATGGACACATTGTTATTGACTCAAGCCCCCCACCCCCATCCCACGAGGGGAGGAGGGAGGCTGCCATTCTCTCCAGGCCCAGCTGGTTACTGGGAAATGAGGGGCCACCCGTGTCCCTCAGACAGCAGGGACACTTCTTGGAAGACGCCCTCCTGGGCTGTGAGCAGCTTCCGGTGGCCGAGGGAAGCCCCAGCGTTGGGCAGCCTCAGTGCCTGCAGGTGGAAGGCCTTTCCCCCACCATCATGCCCACTGGAATAGCCACTGCCGAGGGGGCTGGCCTGGGGTAGACGGTCATGCTTGGCTGGTCATGCTTGGCTGACCACCAGAAGCGTGGAGGTTGGAGTTGACCCAGGGGCTCCTCAGAAGAAAGCCCTGCTGATCTTCATCAACAAAACCAGCCACCGAGTGCTACTGCATGGCACCTGGCGGCACCGGGAGCCCGAAGCGGCTCCGGGCGGCTGGCTCAGTTGGGTCCAAAGAGAAAACCTAGACGCTAGAGGCTTGTGACTTTGTGTGCAACAGAAGATGAAGTCAAGCTGAGAGGAAGCCTGCCAGCCACACCTCTGCCAGCCACCTACCTGAAGGCTGGCAAGGCACCTGCCGCTCTGGAAACAACCCCCACCCCACCGGTCCCCTCCCTCTGAGGGTTGGGTGCTGGAACTGTCCGCTGGGTGACTGAGATCCCAGCTCCGCTGTCCACAGACTCAGCGTCTCATGCCTGCTGAACCCGGTTGCCTCTATCCCAGCTCCATGCCAAGCCAACTCCGGGGCCCACCTGTCACCCACACTGTCCTGGGCCAGCATGTGCCAGTGGCATCAGGGGTGTGCCACCCCAGCCTGTGTGACAGCTGAGGAGGCAGACGCTGCTGGGGAGGCGGGGACCCAGCCAGCCAGCACCCGGGAAAAAGCAGGGGAGGATGCATGCGCTTTCAGGAAATTCCAGATAAGCGCAGTGAGCACGTGCTTCCCTCACCTGCTCACGGGGTTCAGGCTGTCCAGCTGGGCCCCTGGGCGCCAGCCTCGCAGCGAGTGTGGGATGAGGGAATGGACCGAGGCTGCTGCCAGGGCCCATCTCTGTCCTCAAGAGCCACACTGCCTGTTCTGCCAAGGAAGTCCGTGTGGAGGCAGCTGGCAGAGCCCTGGGCCACTCAAGCTGGAACGGGGGCAGGGAGGCCATGGAGCGTGGCAGAGAAAGCTGGATGCTGGGTGGCTTCTCAGTGACACGTGTCTCAGTGACACGTGGGCTGGGGTGCAACCTGCAGAAACATGTCCCCGGTGGCCTCCCCTGCTGGGGCCAGGAGCACCACTCTACATGCCGGCCACCAACAGGAGCCAGGTGCTTTCAAAGTCCTAGGGGACAAGACCGGCTTCCTGGCCCAGTGTTTCTGTGGATCGTTGAGAGAGACCCAGGTGCCAGAAAGCCAGCAGGCCCTTGCACACGCTGCGGCCAACAGCATGCAGGTCACTCGGCCTTGGAATGGACTTAATGGCCAGGGGTACCATTGGTGGATTACGTGCTCGGCTGGCAGCCACGAGGTCAGCAGTTCCATGCCATGGGCTGCTCCTCAGGAGAAAGATGAGGCTGTCTGCTTCAGTAAAGGTGGACAGTGGCTGGAAGCCCTGGATCCAGTTCCACTCTGCCCTCCAGGGTCGCTCTGCCTTGGTGTGGACTTGATGGCAGTGAGTTGAATTGAGGGGGATGCGAAGACTTCCGGCGGCACAGCGTTGGGGCAGTTCACCTCAAGGTTGGCAGTTCCAAGCCACCCACCTCAAGGTTGGCAGTTCCAAGCCACCCACTGCTCGGGGAGAAAGAGGACGCATATCCTCCAGTCTGATCTGCAGCCTTGGAGTCCTTAGGAGTTCGCCTCTTATCCTGAGGGTAACTCTGAGTCTGAAAAAACTTGGCGAACACGAGATTGGGGTTGGGAGTCTTTGGGTTGTTGCTATCTTTTGAGGGCAGAGGGCTGAGTGCCGGCTTGCTCGGGGTCACTGTGCTCACCACGAGTCAGAGGTGCCCGGCCTGCTGCCCGGCCCTGTGTCTTCCTGAGCTGTCAGCTGTGGCTGCCAAGGTGTGCCCTGGAAAACTCCCTCCAATCTGCCACGAGGCAAGAGGGTGCCCATTTCCACAGGGCCCTCCTGCCCTGCTGGCTCTGCCCAGTGTGGGCATGCCACTGACTGCAGGAGCCTGGGGCTCCTGCCTGAGGGCTCAGCCGGGGGTCCTGAGACTGTCCTTGGGGCGCCCTGCAGCTCTGGGCGCCCTGATTTCCAGACAGGACCAGGGAAACCTGGACGAAGAACCTGCCCCCTCTGGCCTCCGCCAGGATTGGGAGGTTGGCATGCAGAGAGGAGGAGCTGTGCGCCTTCGGTGGCCCTGAGAGCCCTGGTGGCACAGCAGGCTGGGTGTTGGCCGCTCCCCTCAAGGTTGGCAGTGCAAATCCCCCTGAAGCAGAAAGAGGAAACCCCCATATAGGGTCACTGTGAGTTGGAATCAAATTCATGACATTGGAAGGGATGTCCACCCTTCCCCCTAAAAAAACAACAACAACCCAATGCTCCCATCGAGTCCATTCTGACGGTGGGACTGCCCCTGTGGGTTTCTGAGACTGTCGCTCTTTTTTTTTTGAGACCGTAACTCTTCTTCGTTCTTCGAAGTGGACAATGAGTTACCCCGGGACCCCTTAGCAGGTGATCAGGTACCCCACGGAGACAGCCGTGGCTGCTCTGCACACGGCGGGGCGCAGTGGGCGCCTGCACGGGCGGCCACTAGCAGCAGCAGCAGCAGCAAGGGTGGCCCGACCTGAGTGAGGTCTCAGGAGCCCCTGGTGCCTCATGCGAGTCCTGGTCAGTGCCTTCACCCCGCTTCCCAACCAGCAGAGCTCGGCACCAGTGGAAGCAGCTTTTTCCCCGGACCAGGGCAGGGAGCTGGCCGTTCAGCTGTGCCGGCCTGGGGGAGCTACCCCAGCCCACCCGGGGTGCCAGAGGGAAGGTGGGGAGTGTTGTAGCCAACGGCTCTCTCACAGCAGACCAACCCTTCCCGCCCCCGCCCCACCCCATGAGCCATCCCTGGGCCTTGTCTTCCCTTCGCTCTGTGTAGCTGTCTTTCCCCTACCCCCACAGGTCTGAAAACGCCCAGCGGCTGTGAGCTGGTGGTGGGCGGGGAGCCCCAGTGCTGGGCGGAAGGCCGCTGCCTGCTCTTCGATGATTCTTTCCTGCACACGGCATTCCATGAAGGTGAGTGCGAAGCTGGGCTTACAGAGAAGGTGTCCCTAACCTTGGGGGGCTCTGGAGCAATTCACATCTCTTGTGTGCTGCCCCCTGCAGGCTCGGCGGAGGACGGCCCCCGGGTGGTCTTCATGGTGGATCTGTGGCACCCCAACGTAGCAGCGGCCGAGCGACAGGCCCTTGACTTCATCTTCGCCCCGGGACGATGAGGAGGCGTCCCATGCTGGTGTTGAAGAGAGGCCCCAGGCCCAGCCCGGGTGCCCCCAGGCTCCGAGGCAGGCCTCCACAGGCAGCTGTCCCTGGGCCTCATGCACCACGGACCTCCCTGCTCCTTGGTTCCTGTAAATGGACGTGTGTCCCCTTGTATTTCCTTAGATTGTTTGTTTTCTTTTCTCCCTTCCCCCTCACCATCGTTTGCTTCCGGGGGTCCTTCCTGGCTACCTTGTGCCCCTCACGGCCTGTGACCCGTTGCTACCCTGCTTGACCGGGGTCCCCAAGGAGAGTTGGCAAATGGGAACTGATCCGAATATAGCCATGTCAAAGCCCATGTGGCCCCCCTGAACACACAGTCGGACACAAGCCGGAAACGACGGCAGACCAGCGGGCCGCAGCGGCCCTCAGGGACCCTCTGGCCGCCCAGGCAGGGCCAGGTCTGTAGTCAGAGGCACACACAACACACAGCTCCAGGGCATGGCAAGACGGACGCCATCCTCCACTTGCCCTGGACCCCGGGGGCTCTCGATGGCTAAGGACACCTTGGCTGGTGGACTTGATTTTTGGTCAACAATGCTTCTGACAAAGACAGGGGACACCCATGGGTCAGAATGGGTGATTCGCTTACTTCACTGCCTACAGAAGCCCTCCTGCCACTCTGGGCTCGGAGACATCCACGGGTCACTGTTCTGAGTCCGCAGTGAGGACCATTGGAAGTCACCAGCCTGGCTGACACGCCGGGTGGGATAGGGTGGCACTCATCCAGCGAGGCTCTGGCCAGATCGGAACCCTGAGCTCCGACCATAGGGTCTGTTTGCCGCTGGGGTTTTACTGCCTCTGATTCTTAGCCCCCATTTATGTGTCCGTAGACAGACATCTGTATGGGACCCAGGGGTGGGGACAGGATGACTTCAGTCCGCATGTGTGAGGGAGGATGCTGGCAAGAACCGCCAACCCGAAAGGCCGTGGCTGCTGGCCATGGCTGCTCTGGGGGACCCACAGCTCTCACCCCGAAAGAAAAAGACCCAAAGATATCAATTTGCCAGAATCCTGGCGGCCCTCTGGGCCAGCATGTACCGGAGGCGCCTTTTGTGGGTTATGTATTCCGGTCCATGTTGGACTCACAGAGCCCAGAGCCAAGTGTGACACATGCCAGGGGCTTCCGGAAGTCCATGGGAAAATTCCATGATCTTTACATTCCTTTGTCCTAAGAGCTTCTGGAAGCTCCCCGAAGGATCGGTCCAGTGGTGGTGTTCAACTAGAGGTCAGCGGCTTCTCTGGGGAGCAGTGGTGAGAAGTAGACCTGGCTGGAAATGGGCCCGGTAGTTGCTAAGGAAGTGTGCAAAAAGAGCGAAATGGAAAGAAAGGAGAGGAAAAGGTCTAAATCTGAGTACAATCTCTCCCCATCTATTTCCCAGGATGTGAATGCAGGGAAAGACAGTATCGTCTGACCCCCTGCCGTCGTTCTACTCACATCCCGGCAAAGAGCCACTGAGGTGCATGTTCTCACGCATAGTGACTGTTCCGAGTTTACAAGCCACAGACCCACCTGGCTAACTGCACTGGTGTGACCTGGAAGGGGAACAGAATAAAAGACCTTGCCGAAACCCAGAGTCGAGTGAATGGACACGCCGGGACTTGGTTGGGAAGCCCCTGGGAGGGTCCTGGTGTGTCTTCTTGGCTGTCATTGCTTTCTAATTGTGTCACAAAGCCTCAAGGGACACTAAAAGGGAGTAAGGCACAGGTGCCTTTAAGCTAGTGGGAAGAGGTGGGGCCGGTTGGGAATAAGAAGAACTCCCCGGGAGGTTCAGGAGCTGCTCGGTGGGTCACGAGCGCCTGGGCTGGGTATCATGGTGCCCTGTCATGACCTTGGGTCAGTCGCTAGGCCTCACATGCATGGTCCACTCCTCTGTGATATCTGTGTGAAAAATGCCTGGCAGAGTGGCTAGTGTATGTAGGTCACTCACTGGTGCTTCCCTCTCTGCCATAGCAATGGTTCCCAGCAGCTCTGGAAGAGAGAGGTCAGGGGGTAGAACAGCCGGACAGATTCGCCATGGCTGGTGATGGGAGGTAATGGTGCAAAGACAGCTTAGGCTTGATTGCTAACCAAAAGCTTGGAGCTTGAAGCCCAGCTAGTGGTGGTGCCGCAGAAGAAAGGCTTTGGCGATCCCCTGACACACATGACAACCAAGAAGAAAAACTTGGGGAGCAGGTCTCTGCTGTTACATGTGGGGTCACCCCGAGTTGCAGTTGTCAGTGGCACATGACAATGGTAGAGGGAGGTGTCTGGCAGCCGGGAACCCCGAACAGCTGAGCTGCCGGGCATGTTTGGTGCATGGCTTCCAGCGGTCCTGACCACTTGCCTGGGGTCAGATGCTTCGCTACTTTCAAGATCCATTGCCAAGGAGACCGTGGGTAAGCTGATTTCCATGTGGTAACAAAGGTGCCGAGGGAGACAGAGGAGCCAGCTGGCCCTGCTTCTGGATGGCTACCCAGGTGAGATCCTGCCTGGCCCTAGAGCAAGCCTCCTGTCACCAGTGTGCACAACCCCAGCCAGTCGCTCACAGCACTTGAATCAGGTCCTGTTCCGGATCCCCAGGCCCCAAGCCCCTTCCTCCAGAGGACTCCTAATTCCAAGGTTACCTCCATTGGCTGGAATGTTTCAGCATTTCTTGGATAACAACGGGTGGACTTTGAATTGAACAGGGAGCACCGCAGGGGTGGGGGGAGTGGGGGGCGGGTAGAGGTGCTGATGAGCTATCCATGGTCTGATCTAGACCACAAACCACTTATTCATGTTCTAGCGGTGGGGCCAGGCACGAGGTTTTTTAAAAAAAAACAAACTAATAGGGGCTGACCACCCATCCTTGGCCTCTAGGACCTCGCTGATGCTTTTAAGGACCACAGGCCAACAGCATCCCAATTCGCCGCCAGCAACACCATTACACTCCTTGTGGTTTGAGGGGTCAGTTTGTGACCCAGTCTTAAGCTTCAGGTTGGTTACTGATCCAAATCTGGCGAACCAGAGCCTCCCAAGCATATACCCGTTAGCAATGAGGTTGGAGATAAACACATGGTCTAGATGTGGCCAATCTGCCTCAGCGATTGGGTCAGAGATGGGTACCTGGTCCAGACCTGGCCAATCAGTGTCTTTGAAGCATGAGCTTCTCAGAGATCGGGAGAAGGTCTAGGTTGGTTTGCTGGATCTTTGAAGGAAAAGGGAATGTGGAGAGGTGTATCTAGTGGAAAGAAAAGCTAGGTGCGAAAGCTACAGGGGAAAACAGGTCGTACTCAGTGTCCCCATAGAGAGCGTCTGTCTCCTGTGCCTGGTCGCTCTGGAATTTTCAGCTACAGGAGCCAATAAACTATCTCATTCTGAAGCCAGATCTGAGTTGTAGTTCCTTTTCCTTACACACACACACACACACACACATCCTATTTCATATTGTGAGTTTCATCTACGAAATAGGCCTAACATCTCCTTTCATAGACTTCAAATGAGGTACTGGGAAAACAAGCTCAAGTTCGGCATGAACTTGAGGCTCTCCACATATATTTGAATATAAATAGGAGTGTGAGTACGTGTGTGAGATGCCTTCAAGTCAGCTCTAACTCATAGTGACCCAATGTACAACGGCAAAACACTTCTCGGTGCTGCGCCAGCCTCCACTGAGGACGTGTTGGGGCCCTGGTTACAGCCACTGTGTCGGTCTATCTTGATGGCCTTCTCTTTCACGCGGACCCAACATGACCAAAGTACAGGAGACCAAGTCTCACCATCTTTGCCTCTAAGGAGCATTCTGGCTGTGCTTCAAGACAGATCTGTCTGTTCTTTTGGCTGTCCGTGGTACTTTCAAAATGCTTTCCCGTTCAAATGCACCCATGCTTCTTGGGTCTTCTTCCGTGTCCAACTTTCATGTGCACAGGAGTAGTTTGAGAATACCATGGCTTATATGACCCAGCAATCTTGCTGTGCGGCAAAAACCCTGCAGAAATAAAAGTACACAGCACAAAGAGAAACACGTGCGCCGGTGTTTAGTGCAGCGCCATTCACAACGGCAAGATGACAGAGCCAACTTAAATGCCCATTGGTGAGGGAAATGGCTAAAGACATCCACAGAGCAGCATACTATCCATCATTCAAGAAACTGGACCACTTAGGATGTGGATGTATTTGGAAGACCTTATGCTGAATAGAGTTAGTGGATCATGAAAGCACAAATTTTATGAGACCCCTGGTTGGAAAGGTTACCAAGGGTGTGGGAGGGGGGAGTGGGCAAAGAGGAAGTAATAAGCTAGAAAGTCCAGAGGCGTTAGCTTGCAGGAAGGGGAAGACAATTCCCTACAAGAGGGAGATGGGGATGTGGGGTGGGGAGGACAGGGCAGGCCATGGGGATGGTTGATAAGTGGTTTCAGTTGTTGAATGAGAAAATTATGATCTTATATGGAAACCTCCACCTAATTCACAATAAAGAGTGCCAAACAGAAATTCCCGTGACTTGGGTCAGACGCACTTCAGTCCTCCTAGTGACATCCTTGCTCGTCAACACTTTGAAGAAGTCTCAGGCAACAGGTGTCCAGCGCAATCCTTCGTTTGACTTCCTAAATGCTGCTCCCATGAGCCTTGACTGTGGACCCAAGCCAAATGGGATTTGAACAACTTCAGTCTTTTCTGTTTATCATGACGTGACCCGATGGTCCAGTTGTGAGGATTTGGGTTTGCTTTACATAGAGTTATGATCGAGGAGTAGCAGAGGTTAAATACAAAATTATTTTTCAAAAGAACCATTGTGTCCTGTTGCCAGCCACTTCCCCCATAGCATGCCCCTCCCCAGATAACTCTTGCTAACCAGGTGTAAATGGGGCCATGGATTTGAAAGCTGCTGACAGATGGCAGTGCGTGTGCACGCAGGCAGATTGCAGCATGGAGGGGCATTGCAGGGAGAGAAGGGGCCCCAACAAATCATCACTGGTCCGGTAGGCGCAATTGTACAGCGATAATAAGTAAAGATTATAGTAAAGTCATGGAGAGCATGAGAGATAGAAGAGTCAAATAATGGGGTCAGACACATTTCATGGTAGCGTGCTCACCTCCTGGATGGTCATGATCTTACCAGCCAGGTCTGCGCACAGTGTGGGCTGAGGTGAGGTGGGGCATGAGGCAGGAACCCGGCAGGATGCTTGAGCACCAGGCAGGAGGCTCGAGGACCCCATTAATTACTAACCCAGGGTTATATCTACTTAGGTGGTGTGTGATTACAGGTAACCACACGTCACAGGAAGGGGCAGTACAATAGGCATGCACATGGAAGGGGATGTACAATGGCCATAGGCATAATAGAAAGGGGATGAGCTAAGGCTGTACACGATAGGGAGGGGAGGAACTAGGGGTATACATGTGACAAGAAGGGCGGACCCTAACCTTGGTCACCCTTGGGTGGGCTTGACTTCTCTGGGGTGTCCTACACGGAAACAGACAACTACTATCCTTATCAGAAGGGAGTGGGCTCTACTTGTTGTGGGATAAGAGTGACTGCTTGCTCTAGATGGCTGATAACCTTTAGGGAGAATAACCCCGATCTACTTCTGATGACCTCCAAGTGTATAGTCATTTGCAAGCAGCTAAGTTTGGGATATATTTGGGGGAGACAACTTAGGAGAAATCTGTTTCCCACAGGGCATGATGCAGCTCACCCAAGAAAGCCCATCCATCCTTGGCTTTCTGCCTCATTTCCAGGCATGCTCATTGGCCCTAACTTCTGATTATCTAGAGGCGTCCTGGTGCCATAGTGCTTACAAGTGTTGGGCTGCTAACAGCAAGATCAGCAGTTCAAAACCACCAGCCACTCCACGGGAGAAAGGTGTGGTTTTCTACTCCCATCAAAATAATTACAGTCTCAGAAATCCACAGGAGCAGTTCTCCCCTCCCCTATAGGGTCGTTAGGTGGAATGAACTCAATGGCCTTGAGTCTGGCTTGGGTTGTGGTTTCCTACCTGTGGTAGTTACATCATTTCATGTCAACTTGTTAAATAATAGGTTATAAGGGTGGAGTCTAGCCTGTCCATCAGATCACAGCTTGATGACCTCATTTGGAGGCCAGAAACACACTCTCTGCTTGTCTCCCTGCACAACATTCCTGTTGACAAGCCAAATGGAGCTACGCTGCTGGAGCCAGAGCCCTGTAGCTGGAGGAGCCACATGGAGACCCACACCAGCACTGAGATGCTTCCACCACCACTGGCTCCACAAGACTTTCCCCCCACTGGCCTGTGATCTTCCTGTCTTCATTGTTGTTGCATGTGTTGTGTGAGTCTGAAGAGGGGTTTATAGACTGATATTGGACATATGGGCTAATACCGGACTTATGGACTTGATCTAGACTGGGCTGGGATGTTTCCTCAATATTCAACTGCTCTCATATATAAATATCTTTCTTATACACATGGGTGTCTATGAATTTGTTTCTCTAGTCTACCAGGACTAACACACTCCCCTTCCCGAATGCTCTTCCTCTGACACTGTTGGGTGCTGTTGAGTCCGACATGGTAGTCCCCATGGCTTAGCGGTCCCCATGGCAGAGAAGAACTGCCCCATAGCATTCCCTCGGCTACAATCCACAGAAGCAAATCCCCAGTCTTTCTCCTGTGGCTCCCCCAATGAGTTTGAACACCCAACCTTTGGGCTACCAGCCAAGCCCTTAACCATTGTGCCAAGAGGGCTCCTTCCTGACTCCACCGGCGTTAGTTTGTCCAACCCTACGTACGAAGAACAAAACACTGCCTGGTCCCGTGCCATCCTTCTCCCCGCGGCCGCGGCCGCGTATCGCTGCGCCACCGAGTCCGCAGATGCCGCTGTCGTCCTCTTGCTGCTGCTCTCCTGCTCTGCCAAGCATGACGCCCTTCTCCAGGAACTGTCGAAAAGAAGCGTGAGGAAGCGTCTCCAGCCTCGCTTCGAAGAAGCGCTGTAATAGTCCTCCTTCCGGGACAGAGTTTATCCTCAGCCCCCGCCCCCACCCTCCCCGAGTAGTTCATATTTGTCAACATCACCATGACTCATCACTTCTTTAGTCTTCCTTGGGGTGCTGCTCAGGGTTCACATGCACGAGACCCCTGAAAATCCACAACTGGTCCTCACAGGGACCTCTCTGCTCTCGGACGTTTTCATTGAGGTCTTTTGCAGCAGCTCTGCCCGAGGCATGCATTATTGGATTTCTTTCTCTCTCTCTTTTTTTTTTAATGTTATGAGAGTTTTAAAATATTAAATATTACCTGGCCGGAAAAATAAATAAATAAACCCGTTCTTGAAGATATTTCCACGCTGGATGGGTGTCCTCACATGCGACAGTCTGCTTTCATCCCAGCATCATGGGCCGTGTGATGTAGCCTTAACCCTCTTTTCACTGCAGGAGCGGGATCCCATTCCTTTAGAGGCAGGCAGGCTTTGTGCTTGATAGTTTAGAAACAGTTCAGGGGCTTCTCTTCTCTGAACATATTCTGTTCATCTTTGAAAAATCCCTTTCTGCTGTTTTATAAAAATCATTTTCTTGGGGGCTTATGCAACTCTTATCACAATCCATACATATATCAATTGTGTAAAGCACATTTGTACATTCATTATCCTTATCATTCTAAAAACATTTGCTCTCCACATAAGCCCCTGGCATCAGCTCCTCATTTCCCCCCCTCCCTCCACACTCCCCCTTCCTCATGAACCCTTGATAATTTAGAAATTATTTTGTCATATCTTGCACTGTCCGACGTCTCCCTTCACCCACTTTTCTGTTGTCTGTCCCCCAGGGAGGAGGTTATATGTAGTTCCTTATAATCGGTTCCCCCTCTCTACACTACCCTTCCCCCTCCCCGTATGGGCACTCTCACCACTGGTCCTGAAGGGATCATCCGCCCTGGATTCCCTGTTTCCAGTTCCTATCTGTACCAGTGTACATCCCCTGGCCTAGTCAGATTTGTAAGGTAGAATTGGGATCATGATAGTGGGTGGGGAGGAAGCATTTAAGAACTAGAGGAAAGTTGTATGTTTCGCTAGGCCTTTCTTCTGCTGTGCCTGTGGGTTGGGACCTAACAAAGACCTAGCCCTGACTGGCTTGTCTCCTCCCTGAGACCCTTCTGTAAGGAGTGTCCAGTGGTCTACAGATGGGCTTTGGGTCCCCACTCTGCACTCCCCTTCATTCACAATGATATGATTTTTTGTTCTTTGATGCCTGATACCTGATCCCTTCGACACCTCGTGATCGCACAGGCTGGTGTGCTTCTTCCATGTGGGCTTTGTTGCTTCTCAGCTAGACGGCCGCTTGTTAAACATTATTGGATTTCTTGACAGCTACTGCCGCAGATGTTGTGAATGCCAGTGAAATGAAATCCTTGACAAATTGAATCTGTTCTCCCTCTCTATGTAATCACTGTATTGCTTATTGAGATTTTTCCTTTATGTTGAGGTGTAATATAGACTGAAGGCTATCACATTTGATTTTCTTTAGTAAATGCTTCAAGTCTTCTTCACGTTTGGCAAGCAAGGTTGTGTCATCCACATGTCGTAAGTGGTTAAATGAGTCTTCCTCCGATCCTGATGCCAAGTTGTTCATATAGGCTAGCCTTTTGGGTCATTGATATTCAGATTGAGTAAGTACAGTAAGAAGCTACAGTCCTGATACACACCTTTCCTGATTTTAAACCACGCAGTAGCCCCTTGTTCTGTTTGCACAGCTGCCTCTTGGTCTACGTATGCAGTTTCCACATAAGCACCATTAAGGGTAATGGAATTCCCATTCTTTGTAGAGTTATCCATTGCTTGCTATCACAAGATAGGACGCATTCAAGGCCATACTTTGGTTCTCGTGGATGCAATTTTAACTGTCTTCAGCTGCCTTTAATTATCATATGACCAATGAATGGTTTGTTCCACCGTCAGTCCTGACCCTGTTCTGATTGATGACACTGAGCTTCACCATCTCTAGTCATGGAAACCAAA